TTAAATCCAGATGGAAACAATTCAAGCGATCTAGAAAATACGTCGTTATAGAGTAACCCAGTATACATGGAAAATAATCCCATCAATAGGATTATGTATCGCCCACCAAAAAACATTTCAAGAAACTGATATTTTGCGAAAGGGTAATCTTAGAAAATCGTATGTAAATAACAAAAAGCTTTAAGTTTTCTATTACAACGCACCTCGCTCTTTCCTGGTTTATCTAGGGATTTTTCACGAATAATGAGGTATAAAGCTGCAAGGGTGACAAGAAACCCGTGACCCAAGTCACCAAACATTATAGCGAATAGGAATGGGAAAGTAATTATCGTAAATAGGCCAGGGTTGACTTCACGATATTTTGCGACCCCATAAGCGTCTACTATTTCTTGGAATCCACTGGTAAATTTATTGACGCGGTGGAATGTTGGAGGTTCCTTTGTCGTGCGAAGCTCATTTAAGATAGATGGAACCGTTGAACCCGACTCTTCCTAACGTGACAATAGTCAAGAACTTAATTCACTATTGATACACAGGCAATTATGTTATATACTTACAGTGACTTTTCTAAGGGCATTTTGGATTTGTTCAATGTCATTTTTAGGACACCAACCCTCTGCAATTAGGCATTTTCGGCTCACATCATAATTGAACAAATTCATGGTGTGATAGATAGCTTTTTCTTTTCTTACAATGGTTATCCATACGGCCAGTTCATTTGCAACCCCTGATAATTCTGACACCCTAGCATTTTTGGTATTTTGCAGAACTGAGTTAAGATCTTCTATTTGCCCTGTAATTAGAAGCAAGCTATCACGTCTCTTGTCGGGATTACTATCCACAGGATAGAGAGTTGCGCCCAATGATTCCGAAATTTTCCTGATCTTGTTCAAGAGTTCTCTTCCGTGTGCAAATATAATGAACACATTTTTTTCTAGCATCTCATCGGTACTTGGGTCAGTTATTAACTCATCGATTTCTGCATAGTTGAGAAATAAGTTTCCACGTAATGCACGCCAAAGGATACGTTCAAATGTTTGCATTTTTGTCCGTGGAATAACGCCCGCAACAAACCTAGGTTGACGTCCGTGTAAATTAATCAGGTTCTCTTGAAACACATATCCACTCAAGTAAAACGAGAATTTGAAATGCTCACCCAAGATTAAGATGGTGAAAAGATAATGGCTCTCCCTGTTCAATAGTATCTTGTTGTGCCTCTGATTCCAGTAGAGGTGCTGTGGGTTCGTCAAAAGAGTTGCGTATATCATCTTGACGAGATTCAGCCTTGATCGTCAGAAGGGGGAATGATCAGAGAAAAGAAAAAACAAACCATCTGCAATAAAAATTGTTTTATACAAGTCTGATAATAACATTCACCTCTTTAAAAAATACAGCTGTCTCGCGCAATACATGTTTTGCTTCGGTCAATTCTAGATACTGCTTCATCAATGTTTCGTATGAACTGTTCATCTGCGTGATACGTCGTTCATGTTCAAGAATTTTTTCTTCGAGGTCATCAATCTCATTTGCATTTCGGATGCGCACATTCGATGCATCGCCGGCGAGCGGTCGCATATCGATATCAGATTTTGCAATTTGAGAAGTAAAAAAACCTTTTTAAAAAACAACGTGTTAACACATTCCTCTAACAATTGAACATGTGAAAAGGTTAAAACTTACGCAAGTGCCTTTCTATTTCATCAAAACGCCTGATTTCATTAACGAAAGCGCGCTGAAACGCATTGACATCCGGGTTCAACTAAGGATTGAGCAAAAGATTCCCACATCGTATGAATTTTTATTGCTCCACGCTTCAGTGTGTCTTAGTAATTTACAGTAACTCTGAAAAAGTACTTGGGAAATACGTACGTCTCTGAACTGAATTAGACCCAACTCTCCCAGTTCCGCTACAGTTAACTGGGCGGTCTCTTGTGGTATGTAAAGCTGAATGAGAGACATCTCTTCCGAACGGAAGAGACTTGAGTAAGGCATCGTGAGAACGATCTAAAGGCACTCGATGTATACTTTGAAGTTATATAAGTGAGAAGGAAAGTTAAAAGAATTTTTAACGTATAGATAGTGCGATCTATATGATGATAATGGATATGATATGCATGTTGGCGAAATTGGTCGGAACAAATGCACCTGATATTTCCATAAAAGATCGCGTATGTACACAAATTTCTATCCTCTATCGTTGGGCAAAACAAGAGTCGTTTGGAGAATTCAATCGGACGATCTACTCCAAAATCATAATGATGAAAAAGAAATTCAGAAACACTCGCACCAGAGTAGACTTTGATGACGACGATGCTGACGCTGGTTAGTTCCGTTTTCTTTTGTACGCTTTAAGATCTTTTTTTTTTTACAAGTTCGTTTATTTCAGGCCTACAGGGTTCCGATTTAAAGGTTGGCACGGAAAAAATAGTTAAAAAAAAAACTAAAGATTTGAGAAGTAAGACCATCTTGAGCTTTGGAACCGAGGAGGTGACGTAGAGTGAGATGAGCCAAATTTTAGTCCGAGAAATACATGAACGCGCGTATTGACGACAGTTACTTGATTAAACATCAGGAAGAAAATGAAACGTTCAAAGTAACCAAGAGCCAGGCAAGTCGTCGACTTGCACAAACAAAATCAAAAAAGTTGACTTTAGATCAGTTGAGTAACGAACTTTGTTTTTTTTTTTTTTTATCTGGTAAATTGTTAAGATTATATTTTTTTATGCAGGGATTCACTGCCGCTTAATTTAGATCAAGCAACGATTTCCCCATCATACACTAATGAACTCTTATCAGAATTGCGCGCGAACACTCCTGCCACTCCGGCGTCCTTTAAAAATCAGGGAGACATCATCGCAGAAAAATTCCC